TGCTGTGACAAAGAGAGGTCTTCTTTTCTGTCTCGACCTAGACAAATTAATTCTTCATACCTTTACTCTTGCAAGATGAATAACCAGACTCACCAGTGTCCCAATTGAATGTAATATTTATATCATAGTAAAAAGGTTGAGTAATCAAATATTGAAGTTTCACACACTGTTAACTCAGTTTTATGAAGAGATTTGAAGTTTCTGCATCCTTCTGTTCAACTGTTATTTGACTGCTTTCACGGAGACAGATTATTAGATCACATTAGATTACTGTTTTATGTTATGCAAAATAATTTCATAGTATTACTGATTATTGATTATTGCTAGTCAGTTAAGCAGTTATAATCTTTTTACATCACATACAAGTCAGAATAAAATATTTCAATCTTTGTGTGCCCTAAGATTTAATTGTTAAAAATAACATTAACTCTTGACTAAATGTAAATAATTAATGAGTATGTAGGATTCTGTGTTTTTGTTTCCTGTTTACTGTTGTGGTCACAGAGTCACAGTCTTTCTTCACTTGTAATCTCATTTAAAATTATGTGCATGATTCCTAGAAGATTCTATGGATTTTAAGGAGAAATTTTAATACCTTTTTAATTAAAGCCTAATAAAAACACTGCTTCTATTTCATTGCAAAGCTCTAAGGAAGAATTTTTTGGGCAAAAGTCTTAGCTCTCCTTTCCAGTCAATGAATGTATGTGTGGATGAGGAATTTTCTGAGTTAGAGGCATGGAAAATGCTGACAGCTTGGCAGCAGCTTGGAATTTTTCAATAAAATGATAACTACTTTTGTTCTGTCCCAGGAAGCTGCTTCTAAAACACTGCTCTGAATCTTGCACTTAAGGATCCTAGGAGCTCTAACTTTCCCTCTGTTTGGTGTAATGTAGATAATAAATGTGATAATGGAATAGCAAGCTCGCAGGATATTTTGTGTAGTTTTAGCATTGAACTAAGTAGCTTTTAATTAAGTTTTAATTTGTAAACTTGAAGGTGAAGTTACTCTTGGAATTTGCAAAACCATTGCAAACTCAAGCATAGAGTATTATCCTTTGTCAATAAAAGGGAAAGTGAAACTAGGTAAAATGTTAATAGACAATCTACAGCTGACAGATTATATTTTAAGTGGAAAGTTGGAATCAGTGGAGCATCACTATCATAAATCTGAAATAGCCATAAATGATCAATCAGGATATTTAGAGCACTTCTTTACTGCTACAAAATGTGCTGCCTTCAAGAGTTGTTGCCATATTTCATTATGTCCTGGGTTCAGCAGTAGCAGTCATTTTTCTCCTTCTTAGTACCTGGTGCGGTGCTGTGTTTTTGACTTTCAGCCTGGGAATAGCACTGATATTACCAATGTTTTTAGTTGTTGCTGAGTAATACTTACTCCAACCAAGGACTTTCTGAGTCTCATGCTCTGCCAGGGAGGAGGGGAAGCCAGGAGGAAGCAGAGAGAGGACACCTGACCCAAACTAACCAAAGAAGTATTCCATACCAAGGCATGTCATGGCCAGTATATAAACTGGGGGCAGTTACCCAGGAAGGCTAAATTAATAGTTGTAAAGCCTTTTAAGAACTTATGGCCATTAGGCCTGTGAAAAGCATTTTATTATTGTCACTGCTTGTTTGAAATACTAAATAAAGAAATCAGAACAAAATAATTTGCTCCAGATTTCTGGTCAAACTTCTTTATTCTAGTAATCATTCTATTAAAGATACTATTTTACATTAAAATATAATGCAAGGTTTATTCATGTTACTTTGAAGATGGCATTGAATATGAAACTTGGTTTGGGATTTTTTTTTGCAAGTCACATGCAAAAAGTCACATGCAAGTCATGCAAGTCACAAAGAAAATCTTAGTTGGATAAAGAGTTTTCTGGCAACCCATTGCAAAGCTGGTATCTGCCATCAAAATACTTATTCAGGTTACTTTGCTACTCTAAGGGGTAGGATTTGTTGACGTTCTGTCTCTCTACTGAATGGAGGACATAGATGATGAAGATTATCACCTATCTTGGGCTCCTGCTTTGACTGACCTGCACTGAATATTTTTCTTTATGGATTACAGTTTTTACATGTTTATGAAAAGTGTGATGCTTCTGACAGTTACGGAAAAACTTTTTCACTATATTGATGACGCAAGATTGGCAATTGCAGAGTAGGCTATTATTGCTAGTTTACTGATGAAATATAGAGCTCATGTACTTTTGATGTGTATTTTTGAAGATCATTAATTTTTTTGCATGTGTGTAATTGCTAGCTATTATGCTATGAAGCATATGTAAGTCTTTACATTAAAGATGCACCAAAGCCATTCTTTATCATAAGAATGAGAAGTGTGTTGAATTAACCTAGGTTAAATGCAGTGCGATGCCTTCATTGCACATAATCACTGAAGTGATTCAGGTTTGCAGTATGTTTTCAAAGTTCAGTTCAGTTCAGTAACAGACATGAAATATTTAATATCTACTAGAAAAGATCCTAGAAAAAATTACTAGATGAAACTCTGCTGATAAATCATGTTGTGTGTGAAAATTACAGTTGCTTGAATTTTTTCTGTTCCCTTTGCTTACTTTTACTGTTTTGTTTATTTAGGAGTCGGCTATGCTAGTGAAGTATTTCTGAAGCATGCATTTCTTCCTCTTAAAAAGTAATTCTCAACTCCAGTGGAAAATGTTTCTAGTCCTGTTAGACAGCATTGGTAACCTCACATCAGTCTGCAAATCAAGAATTTTCAGGGCTGGTTTTGACTCTGCCTTCACTTAAGTGAAAACCAGAAATAACATTTTATTGATGCTTTTACACTGGTTTTTGAAAAGAAAAAACCAACAAGAACAGAAATTCTACAGGACAAGTTTTTATTAGGTTTTTTAAAGCATAGCTCCAGTTCAGAATATGTTCATATGTCGCTATTTAAACTTTACAGTGAGTACTCTCATATGGGCTACAAATTTTACTGAAGATTTATGTTTTTCACTAAGCATACCACTTAATTTGAAATTTAATTGTAAAGGGTGATATTCTTTATTTCACTCATGGTTATTCTAGTACATCAAGCCAGTTTATTATTCAGCGTCTTCTTAGGTAATGCAAATATTTTCTATTTGATTTAAGATGTATAACAAAAATACTAGAATGCATTTACTAGAATGTGCAAGTCAAGCTTCTGTTCTTAACTTCCTTAACTTGTTCTTAAGTCAAGCTTCTGTTCTTAACTTGTTCAACACAAGCTGGAGCTGAAAATGAGGTGGATTTAACAGGAAAAATACAGCTACCACTGAAGCCACAGCTGAGTGTTTCATGTTCATCTGTGTAAACTCAGCTTAGACCACACATCGAGCTGTGGTTTATATTGTCTTATCCTGAATGTACTGCCTGTAGCATTACCTCTGGCTGAAACCTCCTGACAGACTAAAGGTTTTATAAGTACAGTTAGTGGCCTGAAGTGAAATAACTTTGTGGACTGAACCCAGTTTCTGGGAACTTCATTATAAAAAATCCTTCCTAGATGGTGTGAGTTGAGAGCTGTCGAGACTCTTCTGGTCCTTCTGCACAGTGCAGAAGCACATAGATGAAACAGGATAGTCATATATTCCTCTATTGCTATGCTATGCATTCATTAGTGGGTAACAAATATAAAAGTGTATTTTTTCATGCATTTCAAATATAAATAAAAATATTGAAACATTGGGCTATTTAACAATAAAATTATATACCTCTTTCTTAGAGTAAACATTTGCAAGCTTTAGACTAAATAAATAAATGGAAAGTCTCATTTTAGGCAACCAATTTTGTCTTGCCATTCAAAACACTGACCTAGTTTATGCTTGCTCTGTCTGCAGTTACTCAATTCATCAACAAATTTGAGAAAGAAAGCAACTGATTTCCCCTCTAATTTAGGTTTCCAAAACTCTTTTGCGGTAGCCTGACATGCTTTCTTTTCCTTTCTGTGTATGAAGGACAAAATACCTGTGTAGATATTCCATCCTTTCTGTTACTGGTATGTTTCTGATGAGAGACATTCAGATCTGACTGACACTGGCTGATTATGCTGAAATAGACGACTATATAGACATAAAATATATATTCAGACTTACACTATGCAATACATAATTTATAAGATCTAGACCACATACAGAGGACATTAAAAGCTCCATATATTCCATGCATTTGGAATATCTGCTACTAAGGCTTTTTACTGCTAATTGACTAATTCTAAATGATCTTTGGAAATAAAGTCAACAAGACAAACTAGAAATTAAGAAGTCTTTTTTGTAAATGTTCATATCTAAGTGATACACTAGCCTACAGTTTTTACAGAAGAGCATTTAGAATGAGCAATAAAAGTAAAAAAATGGGCTGTTTTAAATAATTCTATCTGTAACAACATCCTTTGAATCATTGCTTATGATTTTTAAACCATAGCTATGACATCAACAGTGGCTGTGATTGTATTAGGTTTTTTAATTTGGGTAGGGACTGTGCTTTGAAATGATTTTCTAGATGATTTGCATTTATGTGCTGGTTCACATCACTGAGTGGTCTTGGATTACACAAACTGTATTCCTTTTGGATTAGACTAAATTGGAGAATGTCCTACAGGAGTGCAGTTTATGTACTTCAGTGTGTATTTTTCAGTCTGCATATGGGACCAGTTTTGGACTAGGCAAGGTTAAGACCTCTGAAATGCATGTGTTGTGCACTAACTTAAAACTTTACAATTCTGTTCTTATTGCATTGCAGTAATTGCTAGTATGGTATAAATTGAACAAATGAATTTTAGTCTGAGACAGAGCCTCAGCTTTTTTTCCAGACTTTGTCTTTTTTCTCTGCCGCATAGGTTTCATGGGATTTTTTTGCATTGTGAAATTCACAAGTTTATTAAAACAAGAAAAATCAAAGTAGGGAGAAAGCACAGCAACAACTTATCAAAGTGTGAATATAGATGTTATGGCAGAAAACATTAAATCTAACTTCTTTTTTTTTTTCAGGAAAGAACAGTAACAATTAGGAGACAGACTATAGGAGGATTTGGATTAAGTATAAAGGTAGGATGGGGATTTGGGGTTCTTTTTCTCAATTACTCCCTGTTACACAAAAAGTGTCCTTGTATATAGTTAATGTTACTTTTAATGAGGACAAACTATATTTTAGAGGACTAGAAACAAGAGAGTGATCTTATTATAGGATGTAAGCTACTGTCCAGTAGGTAAGCCAGCAGCTATACTGCCCTATGGAATGGAAGGCAATGTAAAGATGATTCCCTTAAAATTTAAGGTAAGCAACTCTAATAAAATTTGATAAGAGAGGTGAAAGCTGTTTGCAACTACACAGACTGTACTTTTGTTCAACAGCACTCTAATTCAAATGGTTCTTAATGAATGCTAAGTTACACTAGCAGACACATGGAACAGCCAATAAGTTCATCATCAATTCTCCTGCAAAGGATATCACATTAATTCACTGCAATTCATTAGTAGGACAGAGTATTACCACTTTTTCATATTTATTTTGCTGTAGATCAACCAAAGGTAGCAATTTATCAGGCTACATATTTTTGCTTTCTTCAGCAAGTCTTAGGAGCGTATATAAGTGTAGGTGATCCTTTTTTGAGGGAGAGGGGAAGGGTTAATAATTTTTGTCATTAAGCTCTATGCTTTTGAAAATCTGTCATAGTTTAAGCCCTTTCCTTAGTTTTGAATCTCAGTGTAGACAACACAACATTAATTCTATCTGCTAGACACAGCAGTCCTCAGTCTCAAGGTAGCAAATGTATTCACATGAATACAAAGAGGCCTAAATTACATATACAAAGTGAAAGTATGGACTTTCCTGTGAACATCTGCTAGTGCTGACCTTGTAAAAAGGGACTCGAGGGATTAATGTGCATTGTGTTGTCCTTGATAACAATATTGCTGAATAGCAATACTAGTTATTAAAATATGTCTCGGTACACTTGCCATTATCTTCTTGGCCCACTGAAGACCTCTAATCAAGGAAAACTAATTGCTATTTTGTGGCCAAAGTTTCTCGCAAGTTTAGTCAACATCTCACAAGTTATTTTCCTCTAATATAACTTACATTTCACTGAATAGTGATGAAATAATGGATTTCAGTGTAAAATTAGGTATATGTCTGAATGAGGTTTTATTTAGCTGGTGCCAAGAAATAACTGATTACAGTAAGGACTTTTGAGGTTTGGAGAGCAAATCTCATTAAGAGTCACTAAAATTGATTTCTTAGGTATACATTACAGTGGGTTATCTTTTAGAATTAAAATTGCTAAGAAATTCTATATTATTTAAGTATCAGGTACGTTGTATAAAATAAAATATCATTGAGAAATACAAATTAAATAATGAATGTGCAGTGGTCTTTCTTAAATTAGTGGAGTGAGATATTCTTAAATTTTTAGAGCAAGATGTCCATTGTTCTGCAGAAAATCCTTGGAAGTTGCAGAAGTATTTAAAAGTGCCAAAACAGATTGTTAATTCAGCCTAGACAATAAAATAAATCTTGTTTCCGTAGGGAAACAAAACAAAACAAAATATCTATGTCAAGTGTACTAGAAGCAGCTGCAATAGAAATTACAAATAAAGGCTCTAAATTAAAGTTACTTATTGCAGAGATATTTTGATCAGTATTAATCTTAAGTAGTGGAAAGGTTAAGCTACCTAAATTCAGAGTTGAATAGATTATTTCTTTTAAATTTTTGGAAGAACTAACAATAAGGTTATGGAATCCCTTCAATGAACATATTAAAAATATCTCTTTCAGCAAAGGAAACAAACTTACTCAGATGGTGTAGAATAGATAGTGAAAATGGCAAGTAGAATTCTATGTGTATTAAACAGTATTATTTGTTTATTTTTGGAAAATCAATAAACATGGAACTTCTTTTGCTAGATCCCATTTTTAGTAACCCCATACTCTCAAAAAGAAAGATTGACAAGCAATTGGATAGTCAATCTAAACACAATAATTAATATAATCTGCTACTATAATTTTAAGATAGTAGTAAGAAGCAACTTAGAACTGGAATTTAAAGTAATACTCTTTGTAGCTTGGTAAGCAAACTTTATGAAGACTTACTGAAATGGACTTTTTAGGTATGTCATGAAATGTCAATCTAGATTCCAAATATTCGGAAGAATGCTAGTTTTCTTTCTTAAAAGGTACCAATCATGGTATGCTTCCTCTTGCAGATGAGAAACGGTTTGTTACTTTGGGGTTTTTTGAAGATACCTAAGCTTTAATAATGGACTTATATTTATTATTAGTTTTAAATAGAAAAGTAACTATTTTTGTAGAAGTGAGGAGGCTTTTCCTCCTTGTTTCAGTAACTCAATTTCCCACAAAACCACATATTCTTGTTGTCTTGCTACTCTATGGTTACTTGAAGATGGGGGTTGTCTAAGGACTTATTTTAATAAAGTGATGTGTATCAGGGGATGCAGTTTATCTGATGTGTGAGTTATAGCAGTACAGTGATTAGTGCCACTTTAAAATATTTGTTTCAATATGATTTTGTCTAGTATTGGCATTCAGCTATTTTAAAAAAAATCTGCTTCTGAGATTGATTTACACAAGATCTGAACTTAAGCCCTTTAAAACAGTGTTTATAATCCACCCTTTGAAGGTGTGAAAGAACAAAAGAAAACCAGTTTTTGTATTTTGCTGTACTTTATTTTACTGAAATTAATTGTAAAAGTGCGGTTGAATTTGAAGCAGAACTGATCTGGTTTACACTCTTATTTTCTAATTTCTGAAGCCCCTTTAGAACTCTCAGTAATAAACCTCTCTGTGTGAAGGAATAGCCATGGAGTTAGATGTGGAAATCGTGTAGTGTAGTATTTCAGTCATTTATCACATCTCTGACACATTTGTGATTTGATACAAGAAGCTGCTAAGTATATGACTTCTGAAAGAACATCATGTTTCTCAGTAATTGGAGTGTAGAGTTCTTGTGGAAATGGACAATAAAATTGATAGTTCATTAAATAAATTAAGGTTTGCAGTTGCAGTCTGACTTCTGGCTACTAGGACACTGTACACTGCCATTTTCCTGACTGTGTTGTTTGTTCTTTTTAAATGATGAATAGCATTGCACATCTGCTGAGATTCAGTATGACTTTCAAAATTTGACTCAATCAAAAAAATCTCTAAAGCAAGCATATGCACTCGTCCTGCTCACACTTATGTGCATACTTAGATGATTTTTTCTCTTCATTCTGTGATATTTTTTCATTAACACGTTTTCTTTGTGTTTCAAATTGAAACAAGAAAAAATAAAAAGGCTAGAAAGCTTGAATTAAATAGATGAATCATCTAGCTTTTAGTTTAAAAATTTATCTTTTCATCTTTAAAGGCTTGTGTACGTGATTCCTGGCACAGTTTTGGCTTATACCAACTGGTAGTCTTTAAGACAGTCTTTGAACACAGTTCACAGCTTTACATGGACTGCTTCCAATAGGCAACATGTATAATGTCGCCATTTTTCAGTTGGGAAGATTGTCCTCATAGACATTAGCCATATTGTGCCAATAGACCTTAAAGCTATTTTTGTTAGTTCAATAAATGTTGCCTTTTAGTATGAAATAAAAATGTCACCTATATTGTCTGCGAATGCTGAAGTCCAACAATTGCTGCAAGGTTTTACAGACTCCCTCTGCTTAGAAAAACAAAATAGTAATTTTCTTATTATACTTGGAGCCAAACACAAAACCAGCATTTGTCAGTAGAAGTTGCTAGCTTTAGTTCCGTCTTTTTCATTACTAAAATTTCAGAAAAAAAAACCCTCATACATAAAAAACTGGTTTAAGAAAAAATCCTTAGAACTGTATCTTGTAACACTTTGAAAGGAAATGTGGGTGACCTTCCATCAGTAATGGCCAACATCCAGGACAGTGACCTTCAAACAGCTGTTAGTGATTAGAGCTTCCTCTGCCTTTTCTATCAAGACCACCTTCACAGGCGTGTAGCTACCTTTATTCCAAGCTCAGCCATGCCTGCTTAGGGTGAACTGACAAAGAAAATTTGCATTACAAAGATGGGTGTTAAGAGTCTGTTAGAGCTCTGAGCCCTTAAAACTTCAGCACCATTACTCAACATTACTTGACTCCTGAACTGAGATCATATAACTACATTTCCACATTTAGAGGGATGGAAAATCTAAAACATTGGAAAAGATCCATTGTCTAGGTAGGTGGTCAACTATTTTCTCTGAAAGAGAAGAGTAAGCAAATGCTTAACCAGTATTCCTAGGAAAAATGACAGTGTAGCAGACTGTAATTTCTGAGGATCTGAATTTGTACAGATTACATTCAGGCTTACATGTTGATATTCTTTACAGAGGAAAGAAATATTTGTGTCTTAGTGTGTGTATGCCTTTCTCTTCCTTTGACTTTCCTTTTTATTTAAGGTTTCTTTTTAATACTTTATTCTTAAGCACCATAAATGTTTCCAGTCCCCACAGGATAAATTGAATGAAGCAACAGCACTGAATTGCTGCTGAACTGTTGAATTACTGTCTAGCTTTCCTTTATTTCCCCCATTTATTGAATACCTACTGTTCCATTTCATAAGGTCTCCTTTTTGTTTCCTTGTTACTTATTCCACTGCTTTGCTCACTCTTTGTGCTTGTGTAGGAGGGACAGAAACAAATACCTTTGAGATGAAAAGTCCAAACTTGCTTTTTTCTTGGGCTTTTGTTTACCTGTTTCTTGCCAGCATGAAAACTGATCACAGCATGGCTGCCATTGTAGTGCAATGTCCATTTTGCTTTTTGCAGGACACAGTTTCATACATTAATCTCTCCAGAATTCACAGGAACTAATGTTCTTTTTCTGCAAGTCTTGTAGAGGTTTGAACAACATTCAAATCACTTCTTGAGCTGATGATAGCAACTGAGAACTTCTTTATGAGAGGCAATAAGGAATTAATCCCAATAAAGTTTTGGATTTTTTTTTGTTTGTTTTTGGTTGTTTAGTTTTGGGTAAAATTGCCACTTATTCTGTTTTCAGGGTGGAGCAGAACATAATATTCCAGTGGTCATTTCTAAGATTTCCAAAGAACAAAGAGGTGGGTGTCAGATTAGTACACTGTGTTTTGATGTGCTCCTTATAACCCAGTGCATTAAGTCTTGAGATTCTCCAGGAAGTGTTAAACAAATGCTGTATCTCTCCATGTTATTATGATCTCTATCCTCAGAACTGTTCTCTGAAAAAGTAATTTATATTTGGAATATTTTGTAAACAGTGTTCTACATGATTTTTTTTTTTTTTTAAACAGTTCTTGTAGGCATTATTTTTAAGGAGAGAAATAATAAGGTATTTAGAGAATAAAAATGCTTAACAGATTTAACTTTTGTGGCTTTTATTTCCAAATTATTATTGCCAGGAAGCTGTAGCAGATCAAATGTTTGCCCATTAGAGCATGGTAGCACAAGAAGAGAATGCCTGTCTTTTTATACTGGTTAGTAGGGTAGTACTTGAACAGGAGTGGGTAATGACAGAACCTTGCTAATACCCCTGTGTTGTTATTAGATGCTGTTCTGTGTTAAGCATTTGCAGCAACTCATACCTAGAAAAACTGGTGCTGCATAAGGATTCATTTTTAATACAAGCAGAGCTGGTGCTGAATTGGTTTTGAAGTATTGTTTTTGACTGGAAATGTTTTGAAATTACTGGACTGATGTAATATGTACTAGAAAGACCGATAATGGTTAAACAACTCATGATGTGTGCAGTGATAAGGGCTGAAGATTGTGAAAGAGTACTAGCATTGGGTATTTAATGTCTGTATTTAAAGTTTGTGTATATTGGTGTACATTTCTGTAAGGTCAGAAGCGCAAACTTGGAAGCATTTCCTTCCATCTGTTATGCAGTAATTTTAGAATCCTGATTCTGCACAGTTAAAACATGCCAGCATAAAAAAAATTTCATATTTACCCAAACAGAGAAAGAGGGATCAGGATACTGAGAACTGAAAGCCAACCCTGAAAGGCAGACATGAAAGTTGTATGTAGGGATGCTATAGAGCAGCATGGAATGAGCCCCTAAGGAAGGCAATAAGGTTAACTTTAAGGAGTTAGACTTGTGACTCTGTTCTTTTCAGTATACATATCAGAATGTAATACGTAATAGCGTGACATGTATTACCTACACTAGCTATTAAAATGCTATTAAGGACTGCAAAAAAATAAAAAATTTAATTGAGCACACAAAAGCGCACACTTTTTTTATCATTTTTCTGCTGCAGTCACTGATACATTTTGTCTAACCTCAATACCTATCTAGATATAATCTTCATTACTGCTTTTCATAAAAATACTGCTGATTTTTAGAGCTAGTTTTGAGGGACATCTCTTGTACAACTGTCTTGTGATATCATACCATGCATCTGTACTAGGGATGCAGAAAATTCTGTTTAACCCAGAGGCTGTACCTCAAAATTCTGCAAGCTTGTTTCTGCTCTCCTCCCTATTGACTCCAGCTCTTTCTTTGGACCTTTAAAAAAGAATGTGATATTTGATCCAATTATTAAAACTAGTGATGCACGTAAGGAGCTTAGGCTGGCAGATTAGGTTGTATGTGAAGTGTTAGTACATGTAAGCACAGTATCTGACGGATACTGAGATATGCATTTATTTAAGAAAAATAAATAAATTAAAATGTCAATTCTCCAATAATTTAAGCATCCTTCATTACATATATATAATAAGAACAGTCCTTCAAACACATATTGGAGTATTATAATTTATGTCAATATTGATTACAGTTTTACAACTCAAGTAAATACAAGTAAAGTCTTTTCTAGAAAGTGTCTTCTGTGATGTTTTGGGATAGTATAGATAAATAGTCCCATATAATCTCTTCACATTCCTTAGTTCTCAGGTGTTATTTATTTCTTTATAGACAATTAAATAATCTTGTTATATTTCTTGTGTATTTATACAGTAAATTTGCATTTGATAGCTCTGTAACGCAGCACAATATTTAAAAATTGCAACTTTAAAATTGGATTTTAGAAATTCCCTTGTGATTTATAAGGTATAGATAGGTTTTAAAAATAAAACTCAGTATGGCTGGTGATTTTGTACAATACACTGATTGTCTAGCTTTTCAGCATTTAAAGTGTTATCCAGCATAAATCTCCACAGGATTTAACAAAGATGCAGGCTCTAAGGTGTCTTTGATAAAAGCTTACAAGTTAAATTTGTCATTCATATGTAGCTCTGGAGTCTCCCTGTTGCTTTTTCTTTGGAGTCTATAAGAAACAGTCTTTCACAGACAAATAGGACCTAGTTGTGCAGTCATTTTCTATTAGGAAAAGTATGCCATACCTCACCTTAATGGCCTGAAATGTGTTAATGACTGATGGAAGATGTTTCATAGTCTTATATTGGACTGGGTAATGCTGACATGCCAGTATTTGGGGATTTAAAAAAAACCAAACAAACAAACATCCAAATAATTTATTTGGAAGTTGATTGTTGGGTATTTTATTAGGGTTTTGTTTAAATTTTTAAAAGATTATGTAAAACATTAAATAGGAATAGATGTATGCAAAATGTAGGATATTTTCTACAAAATGAGTAAAAAATATGCTTTCTGTTTTCAGCTGAACTTTCAGGTTTGCTTTTTATAGGAGATGCAATTCTACAGGTGAGTAAAATTGCAAGTCCTTTTTATATTTTTCTAGAAAAGTGAAATGAAATGTATACTTATGAAATGTAGAGTAAGTCTTCTCTTTATCTTTTTAATAACAGATTAATGGAATTAATGTGAGAAAATGCAGACATGAAGAAGTGGTGAGCATTTCGGGGGTTTTTGTCTACTTTTTTTTCTTTTGTAGTGATTGAGATGGTAGTGCACACTGATTGCAGTCTGATGGTATCAGTTGTATTATTGTTATTTCTAAACAAATATGTCTGTACCTTCTGCATGGCAAGAAGCTTCATATCTCAATGCAGTCTTTTCTTCCTAAGTTTGATGTAATTGCTGTTCTCAGATAGGCTTTTCTACATTAAAGGTGATTATTTTATTATGCAGATTTTAGCTGTACATATTCCAACATTTCTTCTTTTGGCTAATAGCTATCAAATTTCAGCTGTGCTGCAGCTTTCTGATTGTTGATTTCAAACACTGTAATTTACACTATGTTGGAGATTCGCAGATTGGTTGGTTTTAATCCCAGTTAAAAATTGAAACAAAACAATTCATCTGCCTTTAATTCTCTGGCTGTTACTTATGAGGGTGCTCTTGTCCTTCAGTTAAGCAGATATCAATATGGGTTTAAAATAACAGTGTATTAAGGAGGTTCCTTCGAGAGGAGCCATGTGTATTTGAGAGCTATGGTAGAATGATTCCCTTGGTAAGTCAGCTTTGCTAAAAGTATCATGTACATTTGTTATATTTGACTCTTTTTTAGTGCTTTCAGAAGTAGGAAGACCTGTATTTCAGAAAAGAGTGCCAGAAATGAGAATATTACAAAAGAAATTATCTTTAAATTGTCTAGTTCCATGGAATTTGTACCTATATTTTTAAAATGATGTAGTAATGACATATTTTAGAATAAAATATAGTAGACTTTGCCAATAAATTATTCTGGATTTCATACAGCATTCTGCTATACATCAGATCATTGAACATATGCATTTGGGTATAAATATTAATAAAGATGAAGTACTTATGAGCAAGTTAGTGCTGGCTGAAAGAGTAGATCACTGCACTATTCCTCAGAGTGCTTCTGTGAACTGGTTTCATGTTGGAAATTTGTGCTGCAAATCATGCTTCATTCTTCAGAGCCTTCATCGTACCACTTTCCATATACACTGGCTAATAGTAATATTTATAATACTTTTAAGTTTTGGCTGTGCAACAGTGATCAGCTTTTAATCTTTTATAAGCTTACCACAGTTACTTGGTTAATCTCTCAATGGGATTTCAATAGGCTGTTGAAATTTCAAGACATGAGGGAAAAAAAGAAGTGTAGACTTGCTCACTCAAAGACGTATTGAAAACTGGTAAGAACACCAGGATTTTTTTTTTCTTTTTTTTTCTGAGACAATCTCTGAATCATTACAATTATACATAAATCTATTGGCTATTTATGATCAGATTGAAGAGATTTTGGAAAAGCCAAACGGTGCATATTGACAGAGTAGCAAGTGCCATCATGTTAAATTTTGTTTTATACCATGTTTGTCCAACATAATCTGCTCTCATATAGATAATTTTCTCTGAATAACAGAAAAAAAAAGTGTATTTTATCAGTTTTGAATGTGCATTTGCTTATGTGCAAGTATTTTAGGAGTTTAAAAAGCAGATAAATCTTTATTCTAAGAATAATTTTTAAGAAATAATAGTAAATATTGAGCAATATTTAAATAAGATAAAATGTCCATATGACGTTTTATAAACTGAAATACACAGAAGAGTTAGAAATATAAAATATAAAAGAAATACAAAAAGCAAAACTCTGATAATCTGGAGGATTTTTAGAAACATTCACTATCATAAATTACATATTTGTGGGTGTCCTGGGTTCAGCAGTAGCAGACATGTTTCTCCTTCGTGGTAGCTGGTGCAGTGCAGTGTTTTGAATTCCAGCCTGAGAACAGTGTTGGTGAAGCCGATGTTTTCGGTTGTTGCTAAGTGATGTTTACCCTGACCAAGGACTTTGTGAGGCTCATGCTCTGCCAGGGAGGAGGGGAAGCCATGAGGAAGCAGAGATGGGGCGCCTGACCCGGGCTAGCCAGGGAGGTATTCCATACCACAGCACGTCATGCCCGGGGTGGGGGGTAACTGGGAGTTACCCGGAAGGACACGGGCTTCCGGGTGGAACTCGTTTCTTGGCCGGTGGTATCGTATTCTCTTCCCTTGTTATTTTCCCTTATCATTGTTGTAGTTGATAGTAGCGGTGGTGATTTGTGTTGTACATTGGTTGCTGGACTGTTCTTGTCTCAACCCGTAGGAGTTGCACTCTTTCGATCCTCCTCCCCGTTCCTCCGGGATCGGGGAAGGGGAGAGCCCCGGTGCGGGGTGGGGGGGGACAGACCTTGGTTGTTGTCAGCTCTGCACCACTCACTGGGAGTGAGTGAACAAGTTACCTGACTGGGTTTAAACCACAACAGTTCAGTACATTTGTTGCAAAGCCAGGTAAAGTAATGATAGATGTGGTTATTCCTTGTGCATTAATCAGTGGGTTTAGTCATAGCACTGAGTAAAGGGCAAGTACATGAACTGGTCTGCCTGCAGGAGTTAGGTGGGATTTTGTTGACAGCATGCCCTTTGCAGTTTCAGTTGTTCTAGAACTTCTCTCTTGTAGGGTCTTTGTCAAATACAGGATCTGTAACTCTAATCTGAAGGTAATAGAGAAAATAGGATTCTTGTGGAACATAGTTGCTCACAGCCAGGAGATGAACAGTAGTTGAAACTTGATTTTCAATCCTTATTGCATCTAGGTATTTTTCAAATGGCAATGTAAGGTACATGAGCTCAGAGGTTTGTTTCTTTCTGATTTTTTCTGTAACTGATTAAGACTTAGTGGGTAACATATATTAGTGATCTGGGTTGTCTTAATGTCTTGGTCATTGTAAACCAGCATGTTTTTTTTTTTTTTTTCCAGTGTGTAAATCTGCAGTGATGAATAGATCCTGTTACTAAAGAAATACCTATAATCGCCTGAATCTCACAAGGAGATAGGTAGATATAGGTAGGCAGATCAGATACACTGTTTTAAGACTGGATAGGTAGGTTTTAGTCAATTCTTATTGTTCCTCTACACCATTCCTTCTGATTTTTCTTTTTCTTTCTTTTTTTTAGCTTTAGTTGTATCCTTTAATTTTGAACTTAGGTTTCTGGTTCTAGAGGTGAGATGTTATTCATATTGTGAAAGCACATTATGAGTTTTTATCAGAGGCTGAATGTCAGTTTGTTGTCATGGCTTGTAAAGACTCCCATTGGAGTACAGTATAACACTGCTTCAGTCTTAGTTCTCTCCTATGGTAAAATAAATACATGCTCTCTGTGTTAACATATCGTCATGGAAGGAGCTTGAGAAAAAAAAATAATATAGCAGTTCTCTTAAAAAATATCTCTCAAAATCATACTGGCAATTTGACTCCAAAAATGCAGCATGAACTTGAATGTAGAGGTAAGAAGAATCCATTATATCTGTTAATTTACATGAGTCTGTGCTCTTTCTACTCTGTATTTCTTAGTTGTTCTTTTCCCAGTAGACTCTCCTTCACATTTTACAGCAAGACTTTTTAAAGGCTAAAATTAGGATTATGCATAAACAAACCTTGAGTTTAGGCTTCTCATAGGCTAATTGAAATGGTCCAACAATGCATAATTTGTAAATCCACACACCTAGTCTATGAAGGGCTCACATTGGACATGATTATTCATAAGGCTAGAAACTAATACTTTGTAGTCTTGAAACTAATATACTGTAGCACTTACCTCTATTTATTGTCAAAGCATAAAACAAAGATAGGTAGGCAATCACCAACATAATGCAGTTCTTGTAGCACACATGGACATTTTTGGTGGTTAAGGGTCTAGTCCAGAACCACCTGACAAAAGACAAACTTGTGGGAGAATGTGAGAGGCCCTTCTGTGAGCTACTTCCTTTGAGCTAGTACTGAGTGGCTTGGAGTGGAGAGTACATGTCAGCTCAGTTGCATGCTACCAAAAATCTTGTGTTGTATCTACTGTTTTTACTGTTTCCAGGGTTACAGTGCACCAAAGCATCTGGGGCTCATGGAGAAGGAAAAATTTTAGTCAAATTAATTCTGATATGTTTAAGATTATGCCTCTGTTCTTAAAGTGGTGAATAAAGCATCTCGGGTAGTACCAACAGCTATGATTAGGTATCACTGGTGTTTCTTTGGATCTTCATATCTGTTCTTCTCTTAGGAAATGAAATAGAATTAAATTACTATGGATATGAAATAATTTGTTATTTATTATTTGGGAAAAATTCAGGGAATATTTTCTAATGAAAAATAGTTCCTATGTACCAGTTAATATGGCATTCATGCATTCTTTGAAAACCAACAGGAAAAGCTCATGCAGAGGTATGTAGGTAGGTATCAAGACAGCATAGATATTTAGACTTTGGAGGATTTTTATGTAGCACTAGCTACAATATGCAGCACTGTGTTTCAATTCAGCCATCAGCTGCATTTTGCACAAGACGTCTTTTTCTAGCAGAATGACCTGATGTGATGTCCATATGCACTGCATTGTATCTTTTGCCTCCCCATTTTCTCTGCATTTATAGCAGGGCCATAACTGTGCCAGCTCTCCATGAGTCATACATGTTCTATGAAACAGACAGTGTATGGCTTATTGTTGCTTAAATATGCAGCTGATGACACTCACTCTTGGTTGTTTTTTCGTTTTGTTTTAAAACTGGTTTCATTCAAACTGATGTTTAAACCCCATTATGAATAGCTTAAGTAATCTTTTTTGTAAACGGTTTTAAGCAGAAGAACAAGCATGATGTATTTGTAAGTTAGGACTGGAAACAATATGATCTGAAATCTCAGTCCATCTTGACTTTGTGGATGTGTCTTTTGGTAAATTATGTTTTTATATTCTCTTTTTTTTTTCTCGATTGTGAAATAGAGACTGAGGCTATTAACAGATTTAGCTCCCTGAATTATATGAAGTACTTGAGGATCTCTACAGATAAGGATTTCTACACTAAAATTGTGCTGTTTGGTGACAGTGGTAACAGCAACCTGCAAATACAGATTATCACCTTCTTCTATTATGTGGCAGAGATTCTGTACTGTAT